TATGAGGTACCTCAAATTCCTAGAGACAGTAAGTAGAATGGTGGGGTGCCAGGGGTTGGCGGGGAGGGGAATGAGGTGTTAGTGTTTAAAGGGGACAGAGTTTCAGCTGAGGATGAAGAAAAAGTTCTGGAGATGGATGGTGGTGGATGGTTGTACAGTGTGAATATACTTAATGCCACTGAACCATACACTTGAAAATAGTAAAGATGGTCAATGTTATGTTATGTGAACTTTTCCACAATAACATTTTTAAAGGGCTGTACATCCACCACCACCTTCATGACAACAACTTGCCTTGATTGGATTTGAGCCTTTTCACTTGCCTACATGAAAAATGGCTGAATCCTGAATAATTTAAAATTCTGGGTGAATTCTGGATGCCATCAACTCATCCGTGTATGGTTATGGTGCCCCTTTGGGGTCAGAAGGGGAGAGGAGATATGGAATAGATGACGTCTGTATTTGAATGTCCCGGAGGTTACTCAAGGTGGAGATGCCACCAACTGAGACATCTTTGACTCTAAAATGCTCCCCCAATTCTCACTGTGGTCATTACTGTTACCCTCATAAGATTTGTGCCCTTGAAGGAGAAACATGAAAACCCATGGGTTGACAAAAGAATGACCTCACTATGGTATCTAACCCACTATTATGTCTTCATCGTGAGTCCAAGGAAGTACCCTTTGCCCCCATAAAAGGAAAATCTAAGACAGATAGGAGGGTTATCACATTAAATATCTACTGGTTGTATCTTTTCTTTTTTTTCATGAACAACTACTCAACATCACTCAGCATCAGGGAAATCCAAATCAAAACCTCAATGAGATACCACCTCACACCAGTCAGAATGGCTAAAATTAACAAGTCAGGAAATGACAGATGTTGGCGAGGATGTGGAGAAAGGGGAACCCTTCTACTGGTTGTATCTTGAAATAACTATCGTAAGAAAGCACTTGGAATGCTGATTTGTCCTGAGTGGGTTCCTTATGTCAGTGTTTTTGAAAGTGTAGACCGGGCACCTGGGTGGCTTGGTCATTTAAGCATCTGCCTTCGGTTCAGGTCATGATCCCAGGGTCCTGGTATGGAGCCTTGCATTGGGCTCCTTGCTCCACAGGGAGTCTGCTTCTCTCTCTCCCTCTGCCTGTCCCTCCCCCTGCTTCTGCTCTCTCTCTCTGTCAAATAAATAAATAAAGTGTAGACCACCTGAGTTGGAATTGCTTGGGGCTCTTGTAAAAAGAGACACAATCCAGGGTTCTACCTCAGACGTACTTAATCAGGATTTCTGGGGGTGGAGCCTGGGAATTTGTATTATTGACAAACCCCTTAGTGATTCCTACTGACTGAGAAGCAAGAGCCCGGGGCCAGCCCAAGTGAATTAATTAGGAAGCCTGGGACAGACAGTGGCCATCTTGGGTAGCCACCATTTTGGTGGGAGAAAAACCAGTGGTGACCACCAGGGGACTGAGGTGTAGTAGTAGGGAATTGGCAAGCAGGAGGCTGGGCTAACCTGATCATTTCTTTAGTCTCAGAAGGGGCAGATTCTGCCCCCTTTTTGCTAGAGTCCAGAGATGGTAGTTTTTGATTGACATATGGTGTGCAGGGAAGGCAAATCTGTATTCAGAGTATCTGTTTCAGAAGAACAAAGTGTTTCCCTTTCCATGATGGAAGTGGTTAAATATAATCAACCTGTCGCCAGGTCACTGGCTAATCACCTCAGAGAATAGTGCCATATCGGGACTCAGTGTTTGGTCTTTGGTGCTGGTGGACTGAGCACTCAGTGGTAGCCTGGCCAGCGTCAGTGAGTGGAAGCCCGTGCATAACCTCCCTCCCTGCCACTTGGACCCACCGGGCCATGGCAGCAATGGCGGAGGAGAGAGCCTGACTGGTGCCCACAAATGGGTCATGCTGTCAACTTGGTTATTTAAAATCCCCCTCTGCTGAAGTTACCCTTTGGTGAGCATTAACATGGGATACAAATCTCTTCACATTCTTTAGCCATTCAGAGAAATCTATCAGTATCCCTCTTCCTCAAACCTCCTTGGCACCAATTTTTCAGTAATGTTCCTTCCAAAGTTCCTGACCATCCAGCTAAACCATGTTCCACAGTCCATGAATTGGTATAGACCCTCACCTTGTCATTTCTTGTGGGCAAAATGCACAACCAGGTGCACAGTTCCTGGTTCTGCCCCTGGGAGGATTTCCCTTCACCTGTCCTCAGAGATGCTCCATAAAGGGACTGTCATGCTTCAGTGTCCATTTTTGGGCTTTGAACACAGTTTTCTGTAACCATGACATACCCTCAAGACCCCGAGACCAACAAGTGAGGTTACATAGACTTTATTTCCAAGAACAAACAAGGTTCACAGTCAGAAATAAATGGGTAGAGTCTGCTCTGGGACACCTATGTTCATTCAGCAGCTGTTTCATGAGTACTTACAACATGGACAGAACGGGTAGTGATGGGTCCTATCATGGACCACTAAGGACCAGTTCAGGAAGGAAGAACTCAAAGGAACCCACTTCCTGACATCAACAGCAATGAGACAGAACGAGTTGAAGAAGCCTCCTTGGTGCCTCTCTTTTCCCACCCAAAGCCCCTTTGGTACTCGTGGGAGGTGGGTACCAGTATTAACTTCGTGCTGGCCTGGGTCCTTGAATGAATGATGCTTGTTCCTGCCGACACCATGAATCCTAGGTGGTAATGGGTACATTCCTTGCCCTCAGTCACTCAAGCACACTGTTACAGACAGCTTTCCTGTCTTGATGCCTAAGCAAGATGAGAAAGGTCTAGCAGTTGGTTTATTTTTGTAAATATTTTTTATATAAATAGATTTTTATATATTTACAAAATATTTATATTTTGTAAATATTTATTTTATAAAATACCAGTATTGGTATTTTAAGAGTTGTGTATTAACCTACTGCTGTGAGATCTGACTCATATGCAGCAAGGACTATCACCCCCTTTGATCTGCACCTCCTGGTTCTTAAGATACCACTCAGGGTTATCTACTTTGTGCAGGCTCCAGATTTCTGGTTTCTTTCATACTCTGCTCTGTTTAACATTCTGATCCTTCTGTTTGCCGTTTAAATAATTTCCTATGGTTGTTTCTTTCAAATGCTGAGGAGGGTTTTAGGCAAGCATACATTGCAGCTTAAAAAGTACTTGAGGTATAAAAAACCTATCATCTATCTATCTATCATCTATCTATCTATCTATCTATCTATCTATCTATCTATCTATCTATATCTATCATCTATTTATCTATCATCTATCTATCATCTATATCTGTCATCTATCTATCATCTATCTATCATCTATATCTATCTATCTATCATCTATCTATCATCTATATCTATCTATCTATCATCTATCTATCATCTATATCTATCTATCTATCATCTATCTATCAATCTATCTATTATCTATCTATCTATCTATCTATCTATCTATCATTTATCTATCTGCCGGTCCATCGTCTATTGTGTTTAGGCTCAAACACACACACACACACACACACACACATTATGTTTAGAGTTAAATATACACACACCTAGGCACACACATTCATGGCAATTCTGTTACCATGGAGACAGTTCTACAATGGCTTAAAAATTGCTTAATGTATAAAAGTATTAAAAGACTATATCCAGTAGGGCACACACAGTTCCACTAAAAAAAAAAAGACCATATTTATTCCTCAGGATCTGGGTCTTTCCCATGAACATGCAGTAATGAAACTTACAAAATTCTCAAATTTAAGAAATTCAGTGCCCCTACTGACCATAAAAACCTATTTGTAGGCATTGAGTCATTTGCCTGTATTTAAGAAGTGTTTGCCAAATTATTGGTACTGCTTTTTTATTTTTATTACTGCTACTAGCATCCTGTTGAGGGTGGGCAGTGAATGATGAGGGTGAAAGCAGTACAGAGAGATGAAAAGGGCCCTTGAGACCATCTGTGTGTGTGTCATGGCCGTCCATCCAAGACAGGCCAGTCACTTCCAGGTACTTCCTTGGGTGAGTGCAATAGCCAGTCTTCACTGAGGGGTCTCATGGGACAGCCCCATGGTCAGTGCTGGGCTGGGCAAGCCCGGGCATGGGGCACTTGCTTTGCCCTATGGTGGAAGGCTGCCCTGGCCAGAGATGGGAGGGGTCATTGCCAAGGATGCAGGGCAGGTGGCTACAGCTCACAGATGTCTGCTCCCACCACCAGGAGACCCAGGTCCAGGTGTTCATTGTTTAGACTCATCCAGAAGAGAGGAGTGATCCTCCAAGCGTCAGGTTGAAGGAGTTTCGAACTCCAATGCAGAAGGTTCAGGAAGAGGCTTTGAGAAACCCACAGCTGCTTTGCAGGGGCCTGGGCTGGCGTGGTGGGAGAAGGGACCACGCAGCCCGGGGTGGGAGCTGGCTCTGCCCACCATGTGCTGCATAGCTTTGGAGCATCGCCTCATCCCAGCCTCATTGCTTCCCCAGTGAGGAGGAGGAGGTTGACGCTCAAGACTTCAGAGACCCCACCCATATCATCTCTCCCCCAGGGGAGGTAACCTCTGTGTTATTTCATTTCTCTGTATCCCCTCCCCCTGCCCCCACAGTACTTAGAAGCCTGCCTCTGACAGATGAGCAAGTGAGCACAGTGCTCAGGAGCTCCGACTTGAGAGTCAGATCAATGAGGGTTCGAGTCCTGGCTCCGAAAAATGGGCACCCTGAAAGGGCCCATACAACCACAGGGTTGTACGAGGACACAGGTGACTAGAAGCACCCCGTCAGAGCCTGATGAGTAGAAGTTCTTATGAATAGGAGCTCCAAGGACCCCTGTAGACTGGGTCCAGAGCAGCAGCTCTGATGGACATGGCCTCCCCAAGATGTTTCCCTTGGTTGTATTCAAATCGGGTAACAATGGGCCTGGCGTTCTGGGAGGGGCCGAGGGTGGTCCCTCAGATGCCGGTGGCCAGAGCCCACAGGGAGGTCAAACACCTCCTGGACTGGACGTCTGCACCATGGACAGGGATCTGAGTGACGATGACAGTAAGTACAGCTGGGGGGACCTGGGGAGCTCACTTCTGTGGCCAGCACCGGCCGAAATCTTCCCTTTGGCCTCTATGCTGTCTTGGGTTCTGGGTCTGTGTTGCTGAGAGCATCCTTCCTTCCTTCCTTCTTTCCTTCCTTCCTTCGTTCCTTCCTTCGTTCCTTCCTTCCTTCCTTCCGTGTGGAAAGCCCATTTGCAGCCTGCTGGCTGTTCTTCCAGTATGTGCCTCTGGGCAGTGGAGGAGGATGGTAACAACCAAGACAAAGAACTTTCCTCCCTGACCATGGTAACCCCACCCCAGTCTTGTATCCTTCCATCTTCCTTTCTCTGGCTGACCCTTCCCCAATGCCCTCTCGCCGCAGCCACATGTGAGCCTGAATACCACACTTGGGCTCAGTTCTGAGGTGAGGTTAATTTGAAAGACATTCCTGGAAAGTCTTTACTGGCGATCTTCCTCTTGCCAAGAGGGGTGTGTTCATTATTGCTTGAGAAACACAGTCCTGGTGACCCCAGTGCTGTCATTCCTGGGACAGAAATACAATGGAATCTAAGGACTATTTAAAGAGATGAAGACAGAAATGGCATTTTATTTATTTATTTTAAAGATTTTATTTATTTGACATAGAGAGACAGCGAGAGAGGGAACATAAGCAGGGGGAGTGGGAGAGGGAGAAGCAGGCTTCCTGCTGAGCAGGGAGCCCGAGGTGGGGCTCGATCCCAGGACCCTGAGATCATGACATGAGCCGAAGGCAGACGTTTAACAACTGAGCCACCCAGATGCCCCAGAAATGGCATTTTAGGAAGAAATGTGCCATGTTTAAAAAAAAAAAATGTTTGATCCTGAATTTGGAAGGGACAATGTGTGGAAGAGTATCAGATTGGGGATTGGGAGGCTGGGGTTCGGGTCCTGGCTCTTCTATGAATTGGCTGTGTGATCTTGGGCAGGTAACTTAACCTCTCTGAGCCTCAGTTTCTCCATCTATAAAAGGAGATGGGTCAGGATTCCCTAATTTGAAGACCATGAAGGTGAGGGCAAAATGTTGAATGAATGTAGTTTTCTGGGGGGGGGGGGGGGGTGGTCCTCAGCTTTCATTTGAATCCCAGAGGAGCTTGTGACACTAGTACATTTTCACGGTTCCCGAACTTGGGGACTTTGAAGGCCCTGTGCAGGTCCAGCTGTATTGTCTTTCAGTTTCAGAGCTGAAGTGGGATATGAAAAAAGCCCGTGTAAATCTAAGCAACACATTTAAAATTTTGTTGGAATCCTTTTTCATATTGAAGTGGGAGACTGTACAGAGATATTTTATCATGTATTTGAGCTGGACCTAATCTGATCTCTGATATATTGGAAATTGTGCAGTCATAATTTTATAAGGTTCTACTAATAATCAAATGCAATTTTTCCTCTTTGAAACACTGCTTATTATCAGTCTTGCAGTTTACAATAGGAGTTTCTTAGTAACAATGGGCTAGGTTGGATCTGGATTCAGATCCAAGCTCTGCCTCCTAATTGTTGGGTGACTTTGCTCAAGTCGCTTAACCTCTCTGGGCTACGTTTCTCACAATAAAAACATAGATCATGTCATCTGGAAGACTTGGTGAAAGATTAATTGGATGTGAAGTGCCTACAGCATCACTCAGAGTCGAGTAAGCATGGAATAAATGTTGACTCTAGAAAATTATCAGATTCTGTCTCCCAGAGCTTTAAAATTAAACTGCTATTAATGAAAAATATTATCACCTGCAGTGTTTCTGTTTTGGCATCATGCCTTTTGGTAAGCCAGGTGAGAGTAAGGTTAACTCTTTAGTTCCCTTAAAATTCTAAAGACTCTGATTCCATCATAGTGTCACCCTCCATGCTGGTTTCCAATATAATCAAACCACAGGGTCTAGTGCAAGGTATGAGATTGTTCAGAAAAGTTTTTAGAAAAAATGCTGATGAACTCTGAAACTAGGTCAGTATTTGTCCAGGTTTCGGAAAGGGAGCCTGCTACGGGACTTAACATAATTGAAATGTCCCTCCTTAGGCGAGAGATGGCTGCCCACTTTGTCCCAGTAGAGTTACCCGCCCCAGTCACGAAAATGTCGTCTCCTCAGTTTTTGAGTCTGGAATGTGGGCAGCCTCAGAAAGAGAGTATCTTCTTCCAGTGACACACTGTGGGACTGAAAGTGGGCATGGACAGAGACATTCTGGGATGTGGCGTCCACATGGAAGTCAGCATGAAGGTCTCTTAACTCGGCCTTAGCTCTGACAGCATTCGGCTCATGGCAACACCTCCCGCCATCGGCCGAGACGCTTCCGGTGATGGGCTGGTCCGCCTTCCATAGCTGAGGTGGTCAGGAATTCTTTCCTACATTCATTTGATCTCTCTTTCCCTGGCACTTGTACTCTTTGGTCTGGATTCTACAACCCCACCCCCGCCCCCCGCCCCCAGGCTACTCAGAACAGGTCTGTTCCCTGTTTAAAATAAGAAGCCTTCAGAGTTTTTTCTTTTCTAGCATGACCAGGTCCTGTTTTTCCAACGGGCCCAGATGCAATGTGGTTTCAATCACTCTTATCTTAGAGGGAGATATCCTAGCCCAGAGATGAAGAAGAAAAATCCCCTCCCTTATTCTAAAAATCATATCCCTTGTAATACAACTTATTTTATTACAGACTGAATCCCCTCCCAGAAATGGTGTGCAAGAGCCTCTTCAAGTCAGACGAGCCCCACCCCATAATTGGAGGAGGGGGCTGCTGTGATTCTGGACAATAGGACCTAGATGGCAACTCCTTACTCCTGGGCGCTGATAGCTGGGGATGGGGAGAAATGATCCGAAGCCACACTGTCACCATCAGTGACCCAGTGCTGAGGGATGGGACTCTTCCCTCGGTACCCTGGCCAGCTCTGTTGCCCAAAGACATTCTTTAGTGTTCCCCCAGGCCAGCTCTGAGTTGGCGACCAGAGACTGGATGAAGCTATCAGGGTAACTTGGTGGGAAAGATGCTGGACTTCATGGCAGGAGCCCAGCTTCCAAGGGCCTTGGTGACTGACCGTGGGGCGTTAGTGTATCTCGCACATCCCTTAGGAGGGAGGCACGGCCACCAGGAGCACAGGCCCTCCCTGCCAGTTTGGCCCTGACCTCTTGGGACAACTCTTAATGGAAAGATAGAGTGTCCCTTTTTCTCTGTTTTCCCGAGTGCTCCTCCCACTGACTATGTTCCCTGAGCCCTGTTGTAGGGAAAGAAGACCAGGGCCCTAAAAAATAAAGTGACTCTCCCCCCAGACTACACAGTAGGCTAGCTATTTGGAGCTGTGCTCATGGCTGGGGGTATAAGGATGAATGCACTGATCTACTTTTCAGGTGTTCAAAGCCTCGTGGGGGAGGCAGACCTCCAGCTGGACTTTTTCTGAATAATTCTTAAAAAGCTGTTTGGCAAAAGCAACAACAGAGTGCGGAGGGGCACAGGGAGGGGGCAGCACCCCCAGGCAGGCTTTGTAGGACGTCAGGCCTGGGCTGAGTCAGGCTGAGGGAGTGGAGGGGGTGTGTCCTGGGCAGGAACAGCCAGAACAAGGCCTGGGAGAAATGGCACAGTACACATGCCAGGGTGAAGGCCAACATCAGTGTCCTGAAGTGACAAGGCAGCCCTGAACACCCCCTTTTCCTTCCCTGCCCTGTGGCCCTCTCTTGGCATGGTGACGCTTTCTACAAAGCAAGACCTACACATCCCAACTAAGTGGACGTTTGTTGTAACATTTGCCGGGTTGCCTCTTGGCCTGCCAGGGGGTCCTGAAGAACTCCAAGGACAGCTTAGCCCCGGCCTTCCCCCCATTTCTCTTGATGCTGATCTCACTCCCACGGTGGGCCTTGTGTTTGCTCTCCCAAATATGTTCTCGTTGGCTCCCACCTGAAAGCTCCCACACGTCTCTCTCCTCTCAAGCCCCAAGGAGGCTCTTCTCTCTCCTCCCCCCTTTCTGCTCTGTTCTTTGTCCCCACCCCTCCCCGGCCACAGGGACTGTTTTCCCTTCTCTCACTTGTTCTGGGCAACGTGGGAAGGTTTTTTTTAAACCCAGCGGGGGAGGAGACTCCACAGGTAATATAGGGCCAGTTAATACAGGGCCTTCTCTGCTAAGGGCCGGAGCTTAGATGTTAGTTGTGGGCTGTGGTGGGCGCCTGGGTCGCCCAGTCGATTGGGTGTCTACCTTCGGCTCAGGTCATAATCCTGGGGTCCTGGGATCGAGTCCCTCATCGGGCTCCCTGCTCAGTGGGGAGTCTGTTTCTCCCTCTCCTTCTGCCGATTCCTCCTGCTTGTGCTCTCTCTTTCTCTCTCTCTCAAAAAAAAAAAAAAATTTAAAAAAAAAAAGCTTTAGGCTGTAGTGAGCCACTGAGGTGTTTAAGAGACGGGATGGCCTGGTCAGCCTTTCTGGTCTTGCTACGAAGACTCTTACATAACATAGCCAATTATTTGTTCTTCTTGGCAAGCAAGACTCTTTTCTTTCTCTTGTGCTCACCTGACTTCTGTTTTTATTACTTTAAATTATGGTAAAATACACGTAACACAAAATTTTTAATCGTGCTGTTCGGCGATATTAAGTACATTCCCATTATTGTGCAACTGTCACCACCATCTATCTCCAGAATCCTTTCATCTCTAACAGCATTCAACAATTCCCCACTTGCCTCTCCTCTTTGCTCCTGGCCAACCCCATTCTATTTTATGTGTGTGTGGATTAGACCACCCGAGTCTCTCCTGTACCATCTTTAGTGTCATTCAAACCACAGTGTATTTATGTGCACCGACTGTATGCAGGAAGGGGGGTTCTCTGTCTGAAAGGGGCCCTCACGCCTGTTGGAGGAGACAAGGTAGGAAACAAACAAAAGCAAGATGGCAGTGGGGCGCCATCTGAACAGAGAGGTGGACTGATTTTAGTGTTTTTAAGATGATTTGTCCTGGAATCAGAGGCAGAAGATGTGGACTCCTTTTATCCTCAGAAATAAAGGGAATGGCATTTTAAAAAGAGGAAGTTAAAGAGGTTATTTGTGGGGCGCCTGGGTGGCTCAGTTGGTTAAGCGACTGCCTTCGGCTCTGGTCATGATCCCAGGGTCCTGGGATCGAGCCCCGCATCGGGCTCCCTCCTCGGTGGGAAGCCTGCTTCTCCCTCCCCCACTCCCCCTGCTTGTGTCCCCTCTCTCGCTGTGTCTCTCTCTCTGTCAATTAAATAAATAAATAAAATCTTTAAAAAAAAAAAAAAGAGGTTATTTGTTAGTTATACCTTGCTCCACAAGAAAAATTCCTTTCTACACAAAAGAAAAATTGCTGGTGGCTGGTGAGCACTACCTTAGAGGTGCTTTGCAAAGCTTTCTCAGCAACCACTTGATGCCATTTGCATGGAGCGATAGGGCGTTCAGCGAAGTGGAAAGGTTCATTGGCTCAGAGTTAGGATCTGAGTCTTAAGCACTCTTTCTGGCTCTGCTGTGAATGTGTGAGCTTGTTGCCCCAGATCCCATCTCTGAGTCTCGTGCTTCTACAAAGCCGGGAAAACAGAAAACAGTGGTTGTTGTTAAATGCAGAAAAAGATCACACCCGCGCCATCCCTTTGTGAGCTACAGGACACAATGCATGTCTTAGGGTGGGGTGGCCCAGCTGCAACTCAGCCCCGACCCCGTGGAAACAGTGATACGGCTGGGGGGGCCCCCTTCGGAATGCCCCACACTGGGCGTCACACAATGACCCGTGACGTCCACGTTCCTGTTGTACCCGCTGAGTCTGCACAGGAAATGACGCATCTGCCCATAGGTCAGCCCAGAGCCCTTTCTTTTTGTACATAACATAATGGTGAGATTAATTTAGTTCTGACGAATTATGACTGCCCTGCGAGGTCAGGGCGGCTCCTGGCTGATGGATGGAGCTCTGAGTTTCCCACCTCTTATTCTTCCCCTCTTCCTGCCTCTTTGTTTGGTTTCCAGCCGGACGTCGCAGCTGTATGGCATTTCTCTGTCTTCTAGCAGCGCAGAGTCTGGATGCCCCAGCAGACCCAAGACCTCGGGCTGGGCGGGGGCCTTCCCTGGGGAGAGGGCTGTGCAGGTCTTGCCTTTCTTTCTATGCTTGACATTTTCATCTCTGGCTTAAAGGAGCACAAAGAGAGAGGAAGACCCTCCCTCCTCAGGTCCAAGGCATTGACTGAGCGTTTCTTGAATGCCAGGCTCGGGGCTATGAGCTGTGTGCACATTGTCTTATTAGATGGGCACTAATATCATCTGCTCTGTTTCACAGCTGGGGGGCAGGGGGTTGAGTTCTGCAAGGATGTGTGGCTGGCACAGTATCATGCAGTCCATGACTCAGACGTATCAGAGCCCATGTTCCTAACCACCGTGCCTCAGGAATTCTGACTCCGACAGACAGCCTTGGCTACAGTCCAACCCTGACCTTTATCCTAAACGCTGATAACCGGGCTCACGGGAATTGTAATGACATGCACGGGCCCTGGTCCCAGAAAGGTTCAAATTCTAGCTTCCCTCTTTCTGACCCTCCCTCAAATCTACCCATGAGTGTCTAGGGCAGCGTGGGCAAAATAAGGCTCAAGGGCCAAGTCTGACCCACTGCCTGCTTTTTCAAGTTTTATTAGTACAAAGCCATGCTTACGTAGTTGTGCATTATCCATGGCTGCTTTCAGCTGAGCTGAGTAATTCAAACAGACCGTATGGCCCACAAAATCGACAGTATTTACTACTTGTCTATTTGCAGAAAAGGTTTGCCGATTCCTGGTGGCTAAAATAGCTGAAAATGCTAATCCACTTATCAGGAGCAAACAGTGTTCAGAACCAAGGTATGAATGAAAATTCCCAATGAGTTGTCATCTTGGGGACTTCAGTACACTTCGGCAGGCACCAGTGTGAAGCTTTGGGTTGACGTCCCTTTGCATCACACCCATCTCTACCCCGGGTCTCGCACCTGTTTCTGCACAGAGTTGTTTGTTTACAAAGATAAGCTTTCCTGCTAAGAAAAGCACTCGCTACATCTATACCCATTCATCTATTTCAGCTGCCTTTGTACATTTCCTGCAAGGAGAAACCGCAGAGATGCGAATGCATTCCTTATTGTCAGAGGCCGGAGACATTTCTAAGTTGGGGGGATTGGAAGAACAAGATGGTTCGTTTGTCTTAATGACCCCCCTCCTCCCTCCACTGTGCATGGCCGCGGGTTTCAGCCTTCCTCCCCACCTGCCATCCCACTTCCAGAGAGCCCCAGCTGCTCCAGCTTAGAATAGGATCTGCTGCTTCTTCTGGCCTCTGTTTTTATTAAACTTGGAAGGACAGGGCATATTATTTTTATTTTTGTAGAGGGAAAGAGTGCTAGGCTTTAAAGAGCTGAGGAAAAAAAAAAAAAGGAGGGATCTAGGGGGTGAGAGGGATCAGCTGTTGATCAGAGTGTGTTCAGTGACTTCATGCAGAGAGAATTACTTTCCACCCACCATTTACCAGCTTACCCTTTAAAGTCAACTTCCTGTAATCATGTTGGCCACTGGAAAGACAGAGCTGAGGAGTTCTTATGCCCCAGCTCGGGGGCTGTAGGGAATGGGTTTGTGTGGTGGCCCAGTGTGCTGGAACTGGAACAGGGGGCCTCTAGCCTGCTCTGACTTCACTGCTGTTCACCCTAGGACTACTGGAGTAACCTCTCTGAGCCTCAGACTCCTCATGTGGAGTGGAGTTAGAAGTCCTGCCTTCTGTATCTCCAGGTGGGAGGGTGGGGTGTAGCAGCAGTTGTGGGGAGATGCTTTATGAGTTGTCCAGCGTTTCTGGGAGCCAATTCTTATTTTTATGCTTTCCTCCCTTGGAGACTCAGGGCTATGGGTATCTCTTTCATAGCCTGGCAGATCAAGTTGAGGGTTTTTATAAACCTAAACCTAAAATATTGAAGTATAATTAACATGCAGTGTTACATGAGTTTCAGGTGTAGAAGGTGAGGTTTGAACAGCAGGTATGTAGTGAGTGATTCTTCCGCAGGGGCTGCCTCATGAAAAATGCTTGGGAAGAACATGGACTTTGGAGAACAGTGAGTCTTGGTTTGAACCCAGCTCCATCACTCATGGGCCTCATGATCTTGGGTGAGCCACAGCCTTTCTGAGCCCCATCCACCTTTTAGGAGAATGGGGTGACAAGTGTCAGTTTGGGCCATCCGAGAAGCGGACACCCAGATGGCATTAGAGGTGTCAGAGGTCCCTCGGAAACACATGTGAAAGGAAAAGGGCAGTGGGAGTAGGTGTGGGCCGGGACCGCCTGCAGGACCACACTGCAGGGGGGGTACACCTGTGAGAGGAGAGTGGGAAGCAAGGCGCCTCAGACCACGGTGTGGCTCCAAGAAAGTCTTGCTCAGGTTTGGGGGGAGTCCCAGAGCCAAGACTGTCTATTATGGGAAGCTGCATAAAAAAAACCACTGTGCACCTCAGTACCTTAAGACTGCCCCCATTTTATTATAGTTCATGGTTTTGTGGGTCGGGAATTTGGGCAGGACTCAGCTGATTCTTCTCCTTGTGTAATCCATTAGGGTCTGTCTTAGTGTGGGTTGCTACGACAAAACACCATAGGCTTCCTGGCTACTAGAAGCAAACGTTTATTTCTCACAGTTCTGGAAGCTGGGAATTCCAAGATCAAGGCACCGGTAGACCCAGGGCTGGTGAGAGGCTGCTTCTGGCTTGCAGCCTGCTGCCTTCTCACCAGGAGCTCCGAGGGCAGAGAAAGAAAGGGCCCGAGTCTCTTTCTTTTCCTGCCAGGGCACTAATCCTACCACGGGGGCTTTGTGCATGACCTTATCTAAACCTGATCACCACCCAAAGGCCCGAACATGGAATACCATTCCATGAGGGGATTAGGGCTTCAGCATATGAATGTGGGGGGCCACGGACCCACAGTCTGTAACAGGGTCACTCAGGGGTACTCAGTGGGCAGCTGGCCTGGCCTGGCGGAGCCCGACGGCTTTGCTCGTGTGCTTGCTGGCTCGGCAGGATGGTGGGGTGGCGGGAAGGCTGGGCTCTGCTGGGCTTCTCTCCATGTGGTCTTAGGGTCTCCATGTTGTCCATGTGGTCTCCCCATTAAGGCAGCTTGATGTCTTTACACGGCGGCTCAGGGCTCAAGAGGGCAAGAAGTAGAAGCTGTGGTCTCTTCATGGCTTCTGTGTACAGAGTTCCCTTGCTTGAAGCAGTCTCAAGTCTGCCCGCGTCCAAGATGAGGAGACATAGATGCGTCTGTTGATGAGAGAAGCGTCTAAGAAGTGTGAGCCTCTCTAATTCAGTCGCTGTCCCCTGGGGTCCTGGGGTACGATCCTGCTTCTAAAGCACCTGTCATGGTGGTTGGCACAGAGTAGGTTCCCAGCAAGCAGAAGTTGCCGTTCCGAATGTTTTTCTCACCAGGATTATTCGTGCCGCTCCTATCACACCCCACCCCATCCCTGCCTGCCCTGCAGATGGGGGCCCGAGTGAGACTGGCTTAAACTGTGAGCCTTTTCAATAACGCACCCAGCCTCACTTGGCAGCTTCCGGTGAACCGCCCCTCCCTCTCTCCTTGCCACCCCCCGGAGGCTCAGGCCTGCCTTCCTCCCACAGGTGTGGTGGACCTTAGCTTCGAGGCCGAGAGTCCTCCGGCGCCCCCAGCCGAGCTCCTGGAGAGACTGCCCAGTTGTGACTGGCTTCTTCAAGGAGGCGGTAAGTCTGTGAGGTCTTGGTTCCTGCAGCCTCTTCCTGGGGCTCCTGCTGGTTGGGGAGATGTCTCTGCACCAGGCCAGTGCTGGGATGGCTCGCCTCTCCTCTGGGGAGCCCTGGGAAGCCTCTTGTCACCATTGGGGGGGGGAATGGGAGGACATGGGGCATCAGCCCTGTGTCCACGAACATTCCATGACCACATCCCTGTCGAAGACTGGAATCATCCTGGTTTGAGAACCATTCTTCTTGCGTTAGCTGCATTAGCATGTGGGGCTCTTTCCCTTTGTCTCATTCAGCCTCACGTTCAGCCAGTCTTTCCTTCTTTCGCCCCACAAACACCTGTGCCTTTGAGCTAGGCTGTTGAGCCCCTGACCCCTCCCCTCTCCCCCAGGACAGCAGATATTCTTCCCACCTTTGGAGGCTCCCGGGAGACCCCTGGAACAAAGGTGCTGGTCCTCATTCATGGAACACAGGTGAGCTGGTGCCATCACATAGGATGTCGCCCTTGCCCGCCCGCCCCCAAGAACCTTCCTTGGGGATTTTAGGGTCCACAGATCTCAACCCTGCCAGGGCCTCAGGATCCCAGACCTGCTGGATCAGATTCTCCAGGGACAGAGGCCAGGAATGTGTATTTTACCAAGCTCCCCAGGCTGTTTGGCTACCAAACTGGGGTTGAGAACCGGAGTGTGGACCAGGGGTTGTAAACTGTAGCCCCCGGCTCTAATCCAACCCACTGCCTATTTTTGTAAATCAAGTTTTATCAGAACAGAGAACCACAGAGAGCGTGGCTCTCTGTTCTCACTTGTTTGCTTACTATCTGCGACTGTTTTTGTACTACACCAGCAGAAGGGGGTGAGTGAGGCAGAGACTGCACAGCCCTTGAAACCGAAAATATTTACTCTCTAGTCCTTCACCGAAGAAGTCTGTTGACCCCTGGGCCCAGGACTCTGGGCAGAGTGCCAGCTTTGTGCAGAGAGAAGGTGGAGCCCCGCTTTCTGGGTCCCGCCTCTTGGCTGGGTGGCTCTGTCCTGCCTCCAAGGAGTCTCCGGTACTCCTGGCCCCACTGCTGCCCGGAGCGCCTCCCCTTCTCCTCCCTGGCCGCCCACCTTCCCTGCCCAGGGCAGACCCCGCTTCCTCAGTGGAGCCCTCTGGGCCATTCTGGGCCCCACACCTCCTGCATGCACGCAGGCCCCCCGATGGCCCAGGCACGGGGTGCTGGAGACATCCCTGTGCATGAGAGGGGCATACTGTTCGGAGTCGGGCTGCTGTGGAGAAGGAAGTGAAGATGGGAGGGAGGGGAAGGAGGAGAGGACTCCCGCTTCCCGTAGGTGTGGGCAGGGGCGGGCTTGGCTAGGAGGGGACATGGCAGCTGGGCCTCAGGGCAGGCTTTCCTAGGAGGACGGGGAGGCCTCCAGAGAGAGCGCCAAGGAGGCGGCCATTGGTTGTGCGCCCCTCACAGCCACAGCCGCTGCAGCCCAGCAGGCTCACGGTGCTCTCTGCGGGCACCGCAGTCAGATAGCTCCCGGCCGGGGTCTTCCTGTGAAGCCTGCTCACAGCTCCTCTGGCCGAGGTCAAGGTCTCCAAGGGCAGGCACGGGGTCTAGCCTAACTTTGCGTCCTTCTAGCTGTGTGACATCTTCTACAGACTTCAGTTTTCCTCATCTGTAAAATGGCCTAATTCATGTTTAAATGTGTGTGTGTGCGCGTGTGTGTGCGTGTGTGTGTGTGTGTGTGTGTGTGTGTGAGTTCTGAGATTCTTTCAGCCCTTCTCATGAGCCTTGCGCTTTAGCTAAAGAAGTTTTGCTGTCCTCTAGAAAGAACTGTGTTTTGCTGTGGGCGTCTGTTCACACAGCTCCCTGCGCCAGAGACACCTCCCCCCCCAGCCAGATGGAGCCCTGAGTGCTTTCCCATCATGGGGGGCCACAGCCAGGCCCTTCCCTTTCTCCCGACCTCAGTTTCCATCTGTGTCAAGAGCGGGCTGGCTGGCCCGGCGGAGCCTGGAGGCCCTTTCCAGAGACCCTGCTTCTGTGCTCTGTCCCCAGCAGAGTCCCCATGATGACAGAAGAAGTGGCTCGGGAAGCCCTCCTCAGCTTTGTGAGCTCCAAATGCTGCTATGGCCGCGCAGCCGCCGGTGACCTCGTCATCCAGGAGCTCAAGCAGCAGACCCTCTGCAGGGTAAGGGGGCCTGGGCCTGGCGGGCACCCCAGGGTGCCTCAGGCATTAGGTCCTGGGTGGGGGGTGGCTTGTGTGATGTCAAATGGGAGAAAGGAGTCCTGGGGGGGGCAGCGCGTATGAAGAGGGGTGACCCTGAAGCCCTTTGTGCTGCTTCTCTGGTCTGTGGTCCACTGAAAAGCTCGAACGTGCTGGGCATCATGGGAAGCACATCACATGTACGTCATATGAAGTCCTCAGTGGCTACCCTACACGGTAGATATGATGGTCACCTGTTCAAGGGGGAGGAACTGGAAGTTTAGAGAGGCGAAGTTACTTGCCCCAAATGTACAGCTAGAAGCGACAGAGCTAGGACTCTAACTCAGGTTTGCTGGCACCAAAGTCCACGTCCCTAAACACACGACTAACCTGCTTCCAGGAGGGGTGGGCCGAGAAAGCTCCATCTACCCGCCTTGTTCCCCAAGTCACATCTGTGCCAAGAAATCATTAATTCATTACCCTTGGGCCTGAAGCTCCGGGGAAATCTGGTACTGAGGCCACAACAGGTGCCTATGTCACTGTCTTCGTTGACTGGGCCACGGGACAGATTTTAAGTCCATACTTTCTAGTGTCACTGGCACAGCCATCCTCTGGTGAGCGTACAATCCCACCAAAACCGCACAAGCCTCACAGGGAGTGGTTAGGACAGGAGGCTGGGGGAAGAAGTACCTGTGTAGCTGTGTGAACTTGGGCAAGTCAACCAACCTCTCTGAGCCTCTGTTTCCTCCAGTGTCAAAGGAGGAGCCAGCTGGTGTCCAAGACCCCTTCCTGTTTTGTGATTTTTGTGGATGGGCTCAAGAAGGAGGCTCTTGACATCAGGCACACAAATCCCTCTGAAGAGGACGTTTGGAGAAGCAGACTCCATCGGTCTCCATCTATCAAAGGGCAATTTTGCTGCTCCACAGCTCGCCTTGTAGAACATTCTGGGTATAAAGAAATGGGGGGCTGAAACCACCCCAGTTGTGAGCCTGTCAGGAGAAATTTCCTGGGGCTGACTGATCTCCCCACAGACGTCTGGGGGTATCTGGAGCAGAAATCGTTGTTGCCGGCTTGTCCTCAGCAGCCTATGGTGCTGGGAGTGGGGCCTTTCGATTTCCCCTCCGAGGCTCAGCAGGTGGGAAGCTTCTTCGTTTTGTATAATGCTGTCTTCCTAAAGGGCATGAGTGTGAACATGCTGGGCTTTTTTCCCTCTGTAGTATCGACTAGAGACTTTTACCGAATCCAGAATAAGCGAATGGACATTTCAACCCTTTACTAGTAAGTGAAATCAGTTTAATTGGGAGCAAATCTGATAGGGGCTGGTGGAAAATATCAGGACACATCTTAGCCACTAACCCTGGATAAGATGCGCTTCTGCTTGCAGCCTCAGTTTCCCCATCCCCTGTAAAAAGAGAGGGTGAGCTTTCATCTTGGACTTCCCAGAGCTGATCTCAGCAAATCCTTCCTGTCTGGGAAGTGGTTTGCAGAAAGACCTAAAAAAAGTCTAGTGTTTGCCTTTGGTCACAGACAAAGGCAGCGTGTGTGCCTGGGCATCCGCCTGCCCTTGAGGCCACCTCCAGTGCCTCCCAGGGTCCCTGTTCACTGTGCCATCCCGCCTGCTGCTGAACCCTGCTTGGAGGCTGAGGGTTCTCCCTGGGGAGCCCTATGCCCTTCCTTCTCTGATGGCCACTCTGGTTCGTCCTTCAAGACTCAGCTCCTGTGTCACCTCTTTCATGAAGCCTTTCAGGATTTCTTCACCTGCTGACACTTTCCCCAATAGAAGGAGCCAGTCTTCTGAGTTTTCAGAGCCTTTATGCCGCTCTGGTCCAACGCTCTCTGCATACCCTATGACCTCGTAGGGTGGTTGCCCCTGTCCTATCTCCTTGAACGGAGGAGCGGGGAGGAGGAAGGAGGAGGGGCGGATGGTCACGATGGTGATGGTAGTTATTGTTGTTGATGCCTCTCAGGGGCCAGCCCGGTGCTAAGCATTTCTATGCCTTCTATTTAATTTTCACTACCATCCTATCTGGTGGGTTCCCTCTATTTATCTCATTTCGGAGAGAAGAGAGTTGAAGGTCGGAGAGGTAGAGTAACTTGCCTGGAGTTACTCAGCTAGGAAGTGGAAGAATCAGGAGTCAAACCAGGTCTGTTCAACTCCAACACATGGTTAAGTCCAACACTTAACCATGGACTCCGAGGGGCTCCTTGTCTACCTGTCCCGTAGCCCAGGATCTTGCCTAATGCCTGGCGTCAAGTGAAGGCTCCGTACTCTTTGGTAAATAAATGAAAGCTTGTCCTTGCCGCTGTTCGCTGGCCTTACAACGATCCCTTTCTGTATTAGACCAGTCAGTGGATGGGCCACAAAGAGGGACCTCCCCCAGGCTTTGGGACATCAAGGTCCAGGTCCCCCCGATGTTTCAGGAAGATACGAAGAAGTTTCAAGTCCCTCACTCATCACTGGTCAAGGTAACGTGATTGTTGGCATCTTTGCCCTTCTCTCTGAGCTGCTTTCCTAGGCACTGTATATTTCCTCAAACTTTATCTTTTTAGAAAGGAAACCCAGAATGCAGACCGGTGGTTCATTCCTTGGCTATCAGCAAGGCGAACTCTAAGGAAACTCAGAGTGTGGAATATAGACCCATACAAAATTCCATGCAAATTAGGGAGTAGTCACGTAGCGAAAGGATGATTCCATTTATCAAACTGTCACCAGCTTTAAACAGTGAGTGTTCACATTCCTAGACCATCTGAGTGTTTTTAATTTATTTTTGTTTTTTATTTTTGCCTGACAGTAAACAGCTGAAGTGATGAATGAAACAGATATAAAATACAGCTCAAACATTATTTGGATTTTCAGCAAAGTCAGTAAAGGGACAGAATTTGACTTCTGTCCCATTTTTTTTGGAAATATAATCATGACACGAGGCGAGGCTAACCTAATGTATTACAAAAGCACAGATGAGATATTTCCTATTATGTTCTCATTTTCACTTTTAGAACTTGATTCAAGCATGTAACTTTCCCCTCTGAGTTTTTGTAGCGTCATATGATGATGAGGACTTTGAGAGGTCCAGAGAAGTTTCCATTCTTTTCTCAAGAGTGGAAAGGTTATTTTGATTCAGGGATTAGATTCCAGTAGCTAACTCTTTGCCCTTCACAGAAATGCTGTGCATTTTTTTTTTATGACTTCTATTCCCAAGGACCTCTTAGCTAGTCAATGGGCCAAGGACACCGGCCTTTGTGGTTTAGCCTGGGAGCATGAGTTAGGACATGGAGCTTGGAGAACAGACTGGGCTGGGGCCCCAAAGAGATGGTAATATGATTTCTTTGGTTTGGCATTCAAGGCCCTGTGGAATCCTAGGCAAGTGAGAATGGCCGTCTTCCCACACTGGGCCTGGGACTGGTGATGCCATGGGGTGGGTGTGGGGCTGGTGAAATCAGGAGGCGTTGGTGCTTGGGAAACTGGAGCCAAGGAGAGCTTTTCACTTCCAGGGATGCCACAAATGCCATGGGCGTGGGCGTTACAAATGCAGCGGCTGCCATGGGGCCGGCATGGTGAGTCCTGGGTGGCTGCTTTTGAGTTAATGATCGTGGGGGAGGAGGGCCCCTGCAGGGATGGAGGGCTGGGCTGGGGGCCCAGGGCTCCTCCACTAACAGTGTGACCTGAGGCAAGTCATCCTCCCTTTCTGGGCCTCCATTTGCTCACCTGTAAAATGGGAAAGTTGGATTGGGCGTTCACTACTGGCCTTTGTTCACTTCAATGGTTTATGGTTCATGATTTTAATTCTTCTGTTTCTCATCTGTCTGCAAACATTTGTTGAGACTGAGTACTCGCTCAGTGCTGGGCCCCTGTAAGAGGACTCAGACCTGGGGGCCTTCCTATCGGGGACCCTCTGTCCTTGGGGAAGACCGACAGGTGACCAGCACATGTAGTATCCAGTGATGAGTCTGAGAAGGTGAAGTTCAGGGGACTTCGAGGGGCAGAATAGATGGGGGCCTTGGGTTAGTGCCCTAGGGCTGCTGTAGTAAATTACCACAAACTGAGGGGCTTAAAACAAGCGATATTTATTCTCTTACATTTCTGGAGGCTGGAAGTCCAAAATCAAGGTGTGAGCAGGGTTGGCTCTTTCTGGAGGCCCTGAGCCACACTGCTAGCTTCTGGCAGTCCCCAGTCCTTGGTACACCACTCCGTCCTCTGCCTCTGTTGTCACGTGGCCTTCTGCACGTGTGTCCTGGGTCCCCTCAGGCGTCCTTTTGAGGGCCCACCCTAGTGCAGCATGACCTCATCTTAACTAATGACACCTGCCAAGACTCTTTCCAAATAAAGGCACATTCTGAGGTACTCTGGTGGATGTAAATGGTCGTGGTGGTTGGGGACGGGGTAGACACTGTTCAACCTAGTACAGGTCCTTAAGTGCACAGCCAGGCTCTGGAGCCATCAGCCTCCTCTTCAGAACCCTTCAGGGCTGCTGACCTCCCAGGAGGAAGCCCACGCTCCTCCCGTGTCCTCAGCTCTCCCCCTTCGCTCTGATCTTTTAGACACACATTGACCACTTGCCTCTCTAGGCCACGCCTTCCTCCATCCTTCTCTCTGCCCACCTGCCCTTCCACGCTTTGGACGCCCACCTTCCCCCTGCTGTGTACGTTCCTCCGCCTACTCATGTGCCACCTGTGGGGCCCTTCTGTTACCTCTGCCTTCACCCCTGCCATATGCCTCCTTCGGGCCTTCTTGGAGCCCCTCCCTGTGGTCTTTTGTGTTCCTCCCTCCACCCCTGCTCTCCTTCCTCCCCACCCTCCTCCCTCAGGCTTTTTCTGGAGTGTCTCCGGAGTCCACTCTGAGCCAACTGTGGGAGTGTAGCCTTGGGGCCTTTCCAAGACCGAGCTCCCCATCCCCAACTCAGCCAGCCTGCCCCTTTTCCCAGTCCCTTTGGCCATGACCATTTGGTCAGGGTGCAGTCTCAGAGGTTGTGGGGATCCAAGAGGAGCAGGGGAGGATGGTGTCTCAGGAGAAACACAGATGTGAGGATGTAGCATCTTTGAAGGCTACAGCTGGAGGGGCCCAAAGATACACAACATTCACCCCTCCCATCTTCCAGCTGAGGGAGCTGAGGCCCAGGGAGAGGAAGTGGCTTGTTCAAGGTCACCATGTTGGGATTTGAAGTGGGTCTCAGGATGCCCTTTGCCCCTCTTCCCTGGGAGGCCAGTGGGGGCTGAGCCTCTGGTGTGTCTGCAGGTGAGGTGCCCATCCTGCAGCGGAGCCAAGCGCAAAGCCAAGCAGTCCCGCAGGTGTCAGATGTGCTCGGGGTCTGGCCGGCGGAGGTATGAGCAGGTCTCCCCATCACCGAGGTGAAGGGGTCTCACTTACCAGCTTTCTTGCTTTTCATCGTCTGCCCTTCTGGAGGGCAGTCAGGAGTCCTGTCTTATCACTCTTGTGCCCCAGAGCGCTGTGCCTAGCAGGTGCTCAGTAAATATTTGTAGAATGGGTGAGCTTTCCTCCAGGCTTGCTATTTTGAGATGAGACTAGAACTCATCCAGCCATCTATGGGTCAGATGTAAGGAATGAGGCACTGTGGAGAGGAAGGGAGGAAGGAGGGGAGACTTCTTCCTGCTCACATGGTGGGGAAATGAACACAGAAAACCAGATCTGTAGGTGAGATCTGTAACTCTCTGGGGATCAGGACCTAGGCAAACCCTTATTTATAACTCATTGCAGGGCTTGAGTGGAGGAGTCAAGGAAGGTTGGTCGACTGACTAAACAATCAACAAAGTTCCATCTCTGTTCACAGGGCTTTGCAAATACTGGGTCATTGCATTTTGTAAATCATGTCCTTAATGTATTTATAAATCTTTAAAGGGAAACAGGAAACCATGAGGAGTGAGACTATTCAAAGTTGTGTTGGTTAATGATACTTTTGGTTCATTGAAGCCCCAGGCCATCCTTCTAAGAAGCCAGAGAGCAAAGCTTTGGCAGACCTGCCACCTGTGGTTGATAAAGAAGGTCTTTGATTTGGAAAGAAGCTCAGGTTTCTTTTGTTTACAAGTGAAAGAATCCAATTTCAAATGAGCTTAACAAAAAAAATTCTGCCCTTGTAACAGAAAAGTCCAGGATTATATTTCTGGAATGGCTTCAGGTTCCTCTGGATCCAGGTGCTTAAACAATGTCACCAGGACTCTGTCTCCATCCCTCACCCTGCTTTCCTTTGTGTTGGCTTCATTCTCAGGCAAGCTGTCTCTTGTGGTGACAGAGGGGACAACCAACAGCTCCAAGCTTAGTAGCCTCAGTTGAAAAGGATATCCCTTTGCTGATAGTTTCACAAAAAGTTCGAGGGCAGATCTCATTGCACTCACCAGGGTCGTGTACTCATCTTTGTGCCAGCCCCTGTGGCCGGACAGATGGAATAAGCTGATGGGCCAAGCCCAGGTCCCAAGCTGGTCATAGAAGGGGTGGGGGCAAGCCCACAATCCAGGTGGTCAGAGTGGGAAAAGGGTGGTCTCCAAAGGGAAACTGGGGCATTGCCACCAGAAGCAGGAGGTCTAGACGGTGGGCAGGTGGAAGCAATTGAGGCTCACCTTAGTCCACCTCTATGAGGAAGGATTTGGGGTGAGCCCTCGAGGAGCTGCCAGCCCCCCCCCCCCCGCCAACTACCCACATGGTACTGACCATGTGCCCCTCTCAGGTGCAGCACGTGCTCAGGGAGGGGCAACAAGACCTGTGCCACCTGCAAGGGGGAGAAGAAACTGTTGCACTTCATCCAGCTGGTCATCGTGTGGTATGTGGCAGTGTCTCAACGCTGTGGCCCAGTGGGGGTGGCTGGGGGATGTGGCCTGGACTGGTTTCTACAGAGAAGCTCCACTTGGCTGGGGCTTTCACAGTGCAGGGACCTGTGCTGGAAGAAAAGGGCTTCAGGCGCCTTGGGGAGGGGAGAGGCCCCTGGGTCTGAAATCCCCGTGTCAGGGGAGGCCCCCAGGCATTGCGGGGTTCTCCTGTGGGGCACCGCACGAAGCACTTCACAGGTGAGGACCGAATGAGGTAATAGAACAGAGCTGTCGGTACTTTACCGGTTTCCCATGGTACAGATGAGGATGCTAAGGAGCTTGCCCGAGGTCCCAGCGGTAGGAATGCAAGCCCTCCAGCCTGGGTTCTTCACCTCACGCACCGTGTACTCCGTTCCTCACCCTCTCCACTTCCAGGAAAAACAGCCTGTTTGAGTTCATGTCTGAGCACCGACTGAATTGCCCTGGGGAGCTCCTTGCTAAAGCCAAAGGAGAAAGCCTCTTTAAGGATGAAAGCACCATGGTAAGGAGGGCTTCCAAGACCATCACAAGGGAACCTGGGTTCTCCCCCCACTCCTGTGAGGGCTGCTTCTCATGGAAAGACAGGCTGGGCGGGAACAGTGCTGCTGAGCAGGGGAGAACCTGCTGGGACCCAGGGGGGCCAGTTCTCTCTCGAATTCCACATGCTCGACCCCTCCCTTCCTCCCTCCACACCCTGACACAAACCTTGAGACCCTCCTCTCATACTAGGCACTATTGTAGGCCTGGGGATACCGTAAAACAAAACCCTTGCCCTCATAGATCTCATAGTCTGGTGAGGGAGAAGGTAATAATATTTCATCCCAATGTCAGATGGTGGTAAGGGTCACGGAAAACATGCAAGCAGGGAAAGAGACAGGAATGGGTGTGGGTTCAGCTGGGGGCTGGGAAGTGACACCAGGCAAAGACCCGAATAGTGCAGTGGGGGAGTGGACCCTGTGGGCTCTGGAGCCAAGGTGTCCAGCAGAGGGAGCTGCAGAGGGAAGCCTTGAGGAACAGCAGAGGGCAGTGGGACAGGAGGGATGTGAGTTGTGCAGAGCAAGGAGCTAAGACATGAGACATGCCAGTGGTCCTTGGCCCTTGGCCTGCTTTTGTAAATAAAGTTTTATTGGAACACAGCCATGCCTGTTTGTTTACATATTGTCTGTGGCTGTTTTCCTGCTGCAAGGGCAGAGTCAAGTAGTTGAGACAGAGACCCTATGGCCTACAGAGACTAAAATAGTTATTGTGTGGCCCTTTATAGAGGAGATTTGCCAACCTCTGCTGTAGGCCTTGGCAGGGAACTTGGCCAAGAAGCCTTGGACATCTGAAAGGGCCTGTTTTCTCTAAGAGGGTCAGGTACTCGGCCTCCTTTTTCTTTTCTCTCTCTCTCTCTCTCTTTTTTTTTTTTTTTTTTTACAGTAAGTAGCGTTTGCAGATTGGCTTTCTTTCACTTTATAGTATGTATTTTTAAAAACTGAGGCATAATAACATACATTATTCCCAGCTGTACAGCACAGTGATTCAATATTTGTATGTGTTGTGAAATGATCACCACAATGTCGAGTTAACATCCCTCGCCATACACTTACAATTTTTATTTTCTCACGATGAGAACTTTTAGGATCTAGACTCTGAGCAGCTTTCAAATATACAACACAGTACTATTAACTGCAGTCACCACGTACATCAATCACATCCCTAGGACTTACTTATTTTATAACTCTGTTTGTACCTTTTTACCCCCTTCTCCCATTTCATACCCTACAACCACCCATCTCTTTCTGAATCTATGAGTTTGTTTATTTTTTAGATCCCGCGTGTAAGTGAGATCATACAGTATTTGTCTTTCTCTGATTTATCTGCTTTAGCATACTGGCCTCAGTGTCCATCCATGTTGTCGAAACTGGCAAGGTTTCCTGCTTTTTTATGTCGGAATAATAATCCTCAGCTTCCTTTCTTTGCCCTAGTCAGTCTGGCTCAGCTGGGGCATCGCCCCTTAGGAAGCCCCACCCCCCGCCCGAGTCAGACAGCAGCAGAGGGGTGCTGGGTGAGAGAGTGGGCTGCAGGTGAAGGAGTGCTCGGTCCACAGCCCCCCTTTCTTGGTGCGTAATCAAAGGAGGTTAAACAATCCCCAACCACTCGGGCCCTCCCCTGTCTGGGCTCATTTTCCCGCCCCTGTGAATTAGAGCTGCAAGGCTCCAGGTGCTGACAGCCTCAGGCCAGCGAGGTGGGCTGCATCTCTCCTGCAGGTGTACCCCATTGTGGATTTCCCACTGCGGGAGATCTCTCTGGCCTCCCAGAGGGGCATTGCCGAGCACAGCGCTGCCCTGGCCTCCCGGGCCCGAGTCCTGCAGCAGGTGAGTGGGGTGGGGACTGGGGGCTGTTGGGAGGCTTCTGGGGTGGGACTAGGGCTCGGAGGGTGCTGGCCCTCTGGTCACATGAAGGAATGTCTGTTCCCTTTGCTGGAGGGCCCCCTCCAGAGAAGGGAGGGAAGGCACCAGCTAGGGGAATGGTGAAGGAGAGGAGCCCTGGCTTAGGAAGGGGGGTGGGGTGGGAGGGGGAGTACTAGAGACTGACCAGAGGCCCGTGTGTCCAGGGGGCAGAGAGCAGAGCAGTGTGGGGCCTCAGGGGCAGGCAGGACCACTGGACGTAGAGATTAAGATGAGAGCAACGGGAAGCTATTTATTGTAGGGTTTCAAGCAGGACTGCGGCTCAGCGTGATTTTGACTCTAACCCCGTGGGTTAGAATCTTCAGAGAGGGAGAGGGAAAGTCCAAGACTCGGGGTCGTAGGCAAGTCTGGAGCCCAGAGTCCTGCCCCTCAGGAGCACTTTCTGTCGTGGGCAGGGATGGCTTCAGGCCTAGCTGCTTTGGTGCTGTGTTGGGATGGCCACTAGGTGGCGGTGGTGCCCGTTGCAGCTTTGAGTGGTCATGGCAGCAGGTGGCGGGGGGGCCGGGGGAGCTGGGGGTTTGGCCAGGGAATGGCCAGCGCCGGAGCTCCTGAGTCTTATAGACTGGGCTTAATTCCTGGTTTTCCTGTGTCACAATGTGGTCCTGGGCCAGCTACTTCCTCCTCCCTGAAGTCTGATTTCTCACCAGTGTTTGTACCACCTTGGGTTTTGGTAGAGAGGCAGTACTTTAAATGCCTGGAACCTGGTGCTCAAAATGTCCCTTTTCCCTCTGGTCCCTTTGCAATAAGTATTTCGCCTTCTCTCTCTGCACGCCTCCCCTGTCTGCAGGAGAGAGAAGGATGCACTTAATTAAAAAGTAATGATGACCATCTTGGAGTAGCAGTGGGCCTCAGAAATCACGGATTTGGGGCACTGCAAACTCAAAGGCCTGCCACCACGGAGTGGTAACATGGGTGGGAGAGCCGCCTTATCCAAAGGGGTGGGCCACCACTCATCTTTGTGTAGGCGAAAGGGCAGCGGTTTCAGACCTTCTGAGACTCCAGATTTTTATATGGAACTTCCAATTTTTCAATATTGAGAACAAAAATTTGAAAACGCTAGGAATACTACATGGGCTGACGGGTTGGCTCCAGCCTGTGGGCTGTCGTTGGCTACCCCTGCCTAGCCCCAACCCATGACGTTTCCAGTAAATCAGAGGAAGCTCGGGGAGTGGAAGTAATTTACCTAAAATCACACAGCTGCTTAGTGGAAGAGCCCAGGAGCAGAACCCACTTCCTAGCTCCAAGCCAAATGTTGCTACTCACTGTGTTCAAGATACACACAGTGTATCTCCTTGAAAGCCAGTGCAGGTTTACCGGGGTCTCCGCTGAGGGGGATCTGGGGCCAGACACACCGCAGGGACAGTTCCCGTCCCAAGTTGGCACCCGCTTGTCAGCTCTGGCACATGCTTGTGGCTCCAAGCCACGCTCTTCCTTCTTAGGGCCTCAGTGTCCTCATCTGTAGAATAAGCTGGGTTGGACGGTGCCTTAGGTTGGGGTCTGCAGAAGCAGCTTCGAGACGAGAGCTTGTGTGCAGGACATTTATGAAGAAAGGGCTCCCAGGAGAAACCTGTCAAGGAGGTGGGGGGCAGAGCCAGAGAGGCAGGGGTCACAGAAGGGCGCAGTGTGGTGAGGGTCGGGTCACTGCCCCATCCCACAGGAGCTCTGAGCACCAGTTACACCTCAGCAACGGTGTGCCTGGGCTGAGGAGGCTGGCCTCGTGTTGTTTGGTTGTGCTCTCTGTGTGCGAGGGGGGTTCTGTATCTCAAGGACAGGACCCTGCAGAAGAACGATGGGCTGTGAGTAGCAGAGAAGAAGCAGATGTGCAGGAATGTGAGTGAGACAAGAACAGTGTCCACGGAAGCCCCCAGAGCATCATCCCTGTGGGACTTTGCTCTTGCCTCACTAGTGTTAATGGCGTGGGTCACACGAAGAGCCCCCAACATTGGGGTATTGACTCCGGGAATGGGAAGAAGATAAGGGCCTGATTTTAGCAGCTTGCAGACACTTGCAGTTATTCTGGGATTCTTTTACTTCTGAGACCATCTGATTTTGAGCCCTTGATTTGGCAGCTGGGGCAACTGAGGCTGAATAGGGGAAGTGAGCTGCCTGAGACCACACAGTGTGTCTGTGACAGGCCTGGATCTTCGGGGCCTCTCCCCTACAGGACAGTCCTGTCTTGGGCAACACAAACACCCTGTGAACCAGTCCCGGAGCGGGGAAGGGTAAACAAGGGGCAAGTGGGCGGATTTTGTTAAAAGAGAGTGCCATGGGAGAAAAGGGCTCTTCTATGAATCTTTTTGGTCCTGCATTTGTAGACAAAGATGCATGCTGATATTTTGCTCAGGATTGAGAAGTTAGCGAGTTGAGTCAGCCTGAGCACACACCTGTCATGACACCATGCCCCCCCCCCCCCCGCAGCCCCCATTGCTCTTAGACCTGGAAACTGCTCATCCTGGAGGGTGACCAAGGTGTGCCAACAGATCCGTGGCTGATTACAAGGCAGCCACTTGATGGCAGCTGATGTCCTAACCAGTCTGTAGCCTTTTGAATCAGAAGCAAATGGAGGCTGGATGGGGTGGTATTGTTGTCCCTTTTGATCCCGGTAGAAAAGGTCGGAAAGAATCCTGCTGCCCAGGCACTCAGAGCAGTCATGTGGGCTCCCATCTTTTCTTGTCTCTTGGTGTCCATTTTGTGTCCTCCATAACAAAATATCAAAGAGGGGTCTTCTGCCTTTGATTTCCAAAATTATCACTTAGACACCACTTTCTGGCATACAGGAAGTCCCCGGATCTCATTTGGTGATCTCAGCAACTCTGTGGTATAGAAGCTTTTATCCCTGTTTCCTAGAACAAGCAAGTGCAAAATCATGCAGGGACCTTCATGGAAGAGGCACTTCTTGACTCTGAGTCCCCTCTTCCTGCCACAATATCACACTGCCCTTCAGCTGCCCCTCCCGTGCAGTGGGGAGCCTGCTTCTCAAAATCCCCTGCCCGGCTTGTTTCCCTTTCCCTGGTGGCCTCTGGACCGTCACCTACTGCAAGAGGACTTGGAACTGTTCCCAAGGAATGGAACTTCCTGAAGTTAGACCCTCAGAGGGGACCCCAACCTAAGGCACCGTCCAACCCAGCTTATTCTACAGATGAGGACACTGAGGCCCTAATCCTGGGCTGTCTACACCATCTCCCTTTGGGCTTGGGGACCCCATAGATGTAAGTCTGGGACAAAGAAGCATCTTGTGCAGAAAGAACTTTGGGGTTTTGATGCAGACCCTGGACCACGGGACGTGCCCAAGGAAGCTCAGCTTCAGCGATGGGGAGTAGCTTTCCTACGTCAGCTGTATGTAGCTGTCCCTAACACAGCAGCACCCGAAGCTGATGGAGGTGTGTGTTTCAGTAGGATGCCAGTGTTCTCCTCCCAAGGTGGTCTGCCGCATTCCATTCAGGGTCCCACAGTTTGGGAAGGTTGTAGAGTAGCTGCTCAGAGAAGGGGTCGGAGCACGAGGGGCTTTAGGACCCCTCTGCTGGGGGCAGTGAGTGCCCCAGGCTCTTAGGTACAGGGTGGTGCTGGGAGGAGATTTGAGCATTAAACACACAGGGCTTGACCTGGATGGTCTTCCAAACCTGAAATTCCATGAGCCCACGGGCCTCAGTTTCTCCATTTCTAAAAGAGAGGGAGGGTTTGAGAAAGACCTCTCTCCAAGGAAGGTCAAGGCAAGACCATGGTGAGGGAGGGAGAGTCCTGAGAAAAGAAAAGCCTGAAGCGGACCACCAGATTTTGGAATTTCTTTGGTGTCATTGTTTTACCTTAAAATTTAATTCAAATTGTATAATCGACTCCCTAATATCTCCATGGCTGTATTAATATAGAAATGCTTAAAATGGCTTTATCTTCCACCTTTCTCTGCCCTTCCTCCCCATCTAAAAAGTAATGCTTTTGAAAGATGTCCCATTTGGCTGGTAGCCTACCATACATCCTGGGACGCCCCTGGGGATGACTGTGCCCCCACTTTGTGAAACATATCATCAGATGGTGGCTAACGCTGAGAAGTCCATTTGGACCAGAGCTTAGTGTGTGTGAAAGAGTGTAGTAGGAGACACACCTAGGAAGGCACATGGGAGCCATAATGCCAACTCCAGAGCGTGAACTTCATCTCCTAGGAAGTAAGGAGCTACTGAAGGTTCTTGAGCAGGCAAGTGACGTGAATAGAACACTGAAGTTTTTCTTGGCCAATTGTTTCCCTAGCGCCAGACCATCGAGCTGATCCCCCTCACAGAAGTGCATTACTGGTACCAAGGACAGACTTACGTCTACTATATCTATGGCACGGACCACAGAGTGTATGTGGTCGATTACCCCGAGCGGTACTGCTGTGGTTGTACCATCATCTGACGCGGCCCAGCCATCTCCGGAGCCAGGAGGACAAATGAGGTCCCAGAGTTTACTCGTCATTGGCTACATTGGACAATCCTATACAAACCCCGGTGTGTCCTTCTAGACAATCCAGCTTATCATCTGTCAAGCCACAGGTCTTTCCAGAGTTCCTCTGGTGGGATCCATCATGTGTTTAACCTATGAGAGTTCAGCTACACCCATTTTTTTGGAACAAACAATTTAAGCGGGTGGGGCCATGCCTCTGGTCTCCAAGCTAACGTCTTGCCCCGATGGAGCTTGTGGTTAGATTTTGCCTCTCCCTTGGCTTGTCTCTGTTCTGCTGTGCTGCTGCTAGTGTGAGCCATTTGCTAAGCCGAGCGTTACTCAGATGTGTAGAGCTATCCTACAAACTGGCTGCCTCTTAATGTGCACCACACAGTGCTCTTAGGCTTCGAGAACAAAATTTACCCCCTATTCTGTGGGCTAGGAATTCAGATGCAGACACAGTGGAGGTAGTTTATCTCTGCTCTGTGATGTCTGGGGTCTCACCTGGGAGATGTGAAGGCTGGGGTGGCTCAAGAGCAGGGGGCTCAGATCATCGGAAGGCTGGTTCACCCAGATGTCTGACCGTGGATGGTGGCTGTCAGCTGGGACATCCCCGAGGATTGTCAGCTGGAACACCTGCAGGCCACTTCTCCATGCGGCCTGGGCTTCCTCACCATGTGGCACCTCTCGGGGTAAGCAGCCGTCATGCACACCCCAACTGAAGAAATAGAGATCTGTTTCCAAGCTGGAGAACAAAGCTGCCGTGTTGGATAAACTGCAGGTCTATGCGCTGGTCTCTAACACGGTGCATGTGCAGGGGTAGGGTTTGGAGAGTGATTCTGGAGATATGTAGATTCTTACATCACCTGCCGACCTTAGAACCTGCTCATTAGTAGAACCTGAACTGGGTGTCCTGTGCACCCAGTCATGTGCATGAACTCCCACTTTGTGCAGCAAGGCTGGGTGGGTGCAGGGGATGCTCTGTCGACTGAATGCCCAGTCTGCTTTGGGGGCCAGCTGGGCCACTGTGCACCTGGTTGGGGGTAACCAGAGGCCCCTGTCATCTTATTCCAACTGCACCCCACCTGGAAGGGGATTGCTACACCCTGAGAGGGCCAGGCTATGCCCCCTTGTTCCCCAAGCTCTTGCTGGCCTGCAGCCCCTGTCCCCCTTGGTTTGGGAGGATGTGGACATAACAGGCCTTGCTGAGGGAAGCTTGGGAAGTCTGAGGCCACCCTCCAGGGCACTGTTGACAAATGATATGCAAATGAGCACTCGCACCCTCACCTGCTACACCCCTGCCCCAGGATTCCCCATATCCCATTCCGTTGCTGCTGTACCCCCGAGTCTGGCCAAACTACTGGTGGGGTCTTGCTTACAAGAGCATCAGCATTTGGAGGGGTGTCCCGCTCCCTTGGGGCTGCATGGAAGACTAGGGAAATTGAGAAGCAAAGGGATGTGAACCAGGAGGCTGAGTCACCTGGTCCTGGCCAACCTTCCAGGCTCAGACTTTGCCTCCCACGCCGGCTGACCCTAGCCAATGCCACACGCTCTGCATGTGGGGGAGGCTGAGGGCGGGATGAGGTTCGTCCTTGCCTTGCCTGGCTCTCTGGCACCTGGGGACGGAGCCTGGTGGTGGCAGGGGAGACAGAGAGAGAATACTACGAGGCTCCCTTCCTCCGCTTCCTCCTGGAGGTCTGCAGTGCTCAAGTCTGGGAGGCCAGCACTTCCGACCCTGGTGTCTCTACAGCCCACCTCTGTGGGGCTCACCCAGGATGCTGCTGCCCCCTGGGGGCAGGCAGGGTTTTGGGTTGTTGCAGTGACTGGAAGTGACACTCCTGGCATTTGGTGGACATAGAACAGGAAAGCTAGCTGGCTACCCCTCTGCACAGTGAAGCCTGTTTCATGTCTTCCACGACTCGCAGATCCGCCGCTGACCTTCACCGAGAACTTCATTACCAGAACCTCAGTGGGGACTGCTGACTGCGGTGCTCACCCTCACTTACCGGTCAGCTCTGCTCTTTGATTTTCCCGTATGGTTAGGAATTGCTCAGGTCCTCTCACTTCCTGAAGTCCAAACTCGTAACTCCCTGACGACTTCGTTACAGCCCCTCACGCCGTCCTGCCTGAGCATCACAACCGGAAATACGTGCAGTAAAATGTTACTTTCTTCTCATTTCTCTGTTCTCTTTCCGTTTGGGCATTAAACTGCTTTTGTGTTTGTTGTTTTTTAAAAACATGGTATGTAAGTGGACTATACCCGAGTGTCATTTTGGGATTAAAAAAAAAAAAGGAACCTCAAGTACGGTAAGGTTGTGGCTTGGTGACCTGTACTTGCTCTTGATGTGTGAACACAGAAAATCCAGCGGGAATAAAGTGGGGCCAAAGGGACACTGTTCCTGTTCAGCACCAGGGGGTCACTAGCCCCAGGGCCCTTAGTCCCCTTGGTTCTGGCAGAAGTCCCAAATAAATCCCGGATCCTCCAGCCGTTTCATAACTCTTGCGTGTTTTTCCCTGTAGTGTAACCTATTTTTATGGCCTTCGCTGCAGCCAGGATATGACTTAATTTTCTATTTCTGCCTCTTTCTGTCAGCCCAGGGCTGAGTTAGCTGGTAGTGTGTAGACCTAAACCTAGTTGAAGTCACTGGGGGATAGAGAGTAGAACACAGGACAGCCCTGACCCCAACACCGGCCACCACGGCCTGTGGCTCTGGTCTAAATTCTGTTTCATTTTAAAAGAACATCGGACTCCAGTGATTTGCTTTTACTTCTTCTTTTTTTTTTAAAGATTTTATTTATTTATTTGACAGAGAAAGACACAGCGAGAGAGGGAACACAAGCAGGGGGAGTGGGAGAGGGAGAAGCAGGCTTCCTGCGGAGCAGAGAGCCCGATGCAGGGCTGGATCCCAGGACCCTGGGACCACGACCTGAGCTGAAGGCAGATGCTTAAGGACTGAGCCACCCAGGCGCCCCTGATTTGCTTTTTCTTTATTGCTCTGCCGAAGGAGAACACTAGCTCTGCTCCTCACTAGTCACTGATGGTTAGTCTGCCAGGTGGCCAGAACCATGCTGGGCTTTGTGAGGGTTTCACAGAGATTGGCAGACTCTGCCCTAAGACTACAGGATAGTAGGAGAGAATGTATGCAGAGGGAAATGTAAGCATGGACATGACTCAGGTAGCTTTAGAAGGTGAGGATACCTGAGACCCAAGTAGTGATTACAGGTGACGGAGACTCAAATTGACTTCAGCAGGAAAGGTCATTGATTAGTTCTTATCCCTTAATAAAGGTCATCATGAGCTTCAGGTACAGCTGGATCCAGGGATTTGAAGGATTTCATTCCAACGTGGTCTCCCCAGCCCTCCCGCCCTCTACCTTTCCTATCTGCTTTTCTCCCTTTTCCTTTTGTTCTCAGGCAAGCTTTCCCTACCTTGGCAATGAGACAGCTACCAGCATCCTGGAATTTCATCATATGAATTCAGTAACCCCTTTGCAAGTGAACTGGCCAAAGAAACTCCCACAGAGATCCCAGGGAGGGTTCTCAGTGGCTCATTTTGGGTCACATGCCCGTCCTTGAACCAATCACTGACCAGTGAATGCAGTGACTCAGTCGGCCAGCCTAGGTCACATGGTACCCCTCCCCTCAAGCTGGGCTCAGCCTGGGGCTATCAGAAAGGGCCCTGGAAGCTGGGCACCTGCCCATTAGAGGTACAGACAGAAAGTGCTGAGTTTATCCAGGGATGGTGTTCAGGAGTTTTCTATGTACTTTGCCCCAAATGACATCTTTTTTTTTTTTTCTAAAATTTTATTTATTTATTTGAGAGAGAGAATGAGAGAGAGATAGAGCACATGAGAGGAGGGAGGGTCAGAGGGAGAAGCAGACTCCCCGCTGAGCAGGGAGCCCGATGCGGGACTTGATCCTGGAACTCCAGGATCATGACCTGAGCCGAAGGCAGTCGCTTAACCAACTGAGCCACCCAGGCGCCCTGCCCCAAATGACATCGTAAGCCAGAGAGGCAAGACTGGGGCTAGGTCCTTTCCCTGCCTCAGCCCTGCCCCTCCCTGCCTGTGTTTGCTGGGGTTGTGGGGCGGCTACACCTCTGCAGTTTGGCTATTAAAATAACAGTCTGGACTGATCTTGGTCTCAGGGGAGGCATAACGGCCCTGGAATCAGAGAGGGTATATGCGTGCTTGTGTGTGCATGGGGGGTGTGCACAGGCGCGTGTGGATGTTTGTGCGTGTGTGTGTTTGCCAGATGGGGAGGCTACTGCTTAGAAGGCAGGAGGGACTTCCTCCCCGACCTGGTTTTCCTGCCTTCACTCCAGGTCCCTGTCATATCTCTGGAGTTCCCAGGACCTGGCCTTCATCACGTGGTTAGCTTGTTGAACCCACGGCCAGCTTCAGTTTCTAGGTCATGTGCAGCCCTTGATATGGAGACTGATGAGAGAACCGTTTCCTTCACAGTCAGGACAGACAACCCAAGTGGAGTTCTGTTGCTCAGCAGCAGAGACCCTTCTGCCTGCAGTGGCTTGGACCCCGCCGGCTCCCGGCAAAGTTCCAGGCTCCATCTGCGCACACTGAGGGCTCAGCGGTCCAGGAGAGGGCATGGGTGTGGGGTCATCTACCTCTCAGATGAAACTCCTGCCCTGCCTGTTATCAGCCATGGGACACAGCCATTCCACTCACCTGGCAAGAGCCTGCTTCCTTACCTGGGAGAAGGGGATGCCACTGCTTGCTTGGCAGGGTGGGTTGGAAAGGGATGAGGTGTGCCGAGCTCAGTGCCGGGGAGGGGCTGTGTCCTGCCTGAAGGAAACGCCTTTGGGGGGCGGGCAGTACTTGAGCGGTTGTCCCAGGGCCTCTCTGGGTGACGATGAGCCAAGCCTCAGGTGCCACAGTGACTGTGAGAGCTCTCTTTCCCGCCAGACCCCCCTTTCTTCATCCTGCAGCTCAGCTCATCCATCCCTACCCCAGAGG